TGGGTTGAGCATTCGAGGTCCAAATTAATTTCCTTGCCTCTAAACCGGTCAAAAAATCCCTTCCTTCTGAGATGTGAGAGGCTGCCCAGGTCTGCTCCTTTGTTTTCCAGAGTCCCCTCTGGTGGAGGACAGAGCTCGAGATACAGAGCCAGTAAGGGTTAGAAATGTGGGCCCCAAACCAGCATCAGTCAGAGGAGAGGAAAGGGGAAAGATGACACAACAAGAACGGAAATCTAAGCTGAACCAAAGCACTGAAGGTGCTCAGAGAGCAAAGGCTGCACCACAACTCAGAAGCTGAAGACAGGAGACCTACCTAGGCCTGAATTCCCAGGAAAGGCAAGGGGAACAGTAACTCAGAGCACACAGACTGTGCTGAGAGTCCTGTCTGACTCCCAGACACGAGAGCCTGAGGTTTAACCAAGTGGGTGACTGAGCCTACATCGATCCCAGGCTTTTCAAACAGGATTTAAGAGCTCCAGCTCTTCCCACCCTCCTCCCTCAGTGGTCCAGGCTCTGCTCACCTCTTGATTGAACTGCTTCACTGGGCTTGATCCTGGTTTATCCACCCTGGATGGGATTCTCACCTGGATTGCACACAAGAGCAGAGGCCACCCCTGGAGATGGGATCAGCAACACACACACACACACACACACACACTTCCCTACAACCACCCACGAGAGAAAACCTCCTCACCCTCAACTCCAACTGTGGAGACCCAAAAGGCTGGGGAAGAATCTGGAGTGAACACTTCTTTCAACAGCCAGAATAAAAGAGTGCAGCTCCTCCCTCCCACTCTGCCTCAGTTTGCTGCCACAGATTCCCCATTCACAGGTACCTGGATGACAACTCCCATCACGGGCAGGTTCAGGGTCTGTCCCGGCACAGGAGGAGGCCACTGGTCGATCTCGTTGCACACTGAGGGGCACAGGAGAGGGGAAAGGTTTCATCTGCAGGAAAACCCAGCCTGTCCAGCTGCTCCTGGGAGTTCTGGCACTGAATCACTGCCCGTTCCCAGGTGAGCACCTTCATTCCCACAGCAGCACCACAGTGTTAAATAAACCAGGATTGAGCTGAACAAGGCAATAAAGGCCTGCCAGAGATGCAGCAGCAGCACTTCTTGCTGTCTCTGGGATTACACTGACAGCCCCATCCATCCCCTTCCCATCAGTGCCTCCTTTGCAGCCGGCTGTCATTTGGACAAGCAGACAGAAAGTTCTTCCCTGCCAGAATTTGTTGCGGAACAAACCGATCTGGAACATTTCAAACCGTCCTTCCAGAACCTCCTGATCAAACCCCTGCAGGATTTCAGGCTGCAAACCCTCCCTCCCAGCCCTCCCTGCTCACCTGCCTCCAGGCATGGCTCCAGCTTGTCAAAGTACTCCGGAGCGATGAGCTGGAGCAGGGACTGGAACAGGTTCACGTAGGGCAGGCGGGACACCAGCACCAGGGACTGGAAAAGGGCACATCTGGGAGTCAACCCCCCCCAACACCATCCCTTCCAGCACTAAACATGTTTATCCTGCACAAGGAGCAGCTGAGAGAGCTGGGGGGGCTCATCCTGGAGAAAAGGAGGCTCAGGGGGGACCTTCTGGCTCTGCAAGTCCCTGCCAGGAGGGGGGAG